GGTCTTCAATTAAAATTTCAAACACATTTCATTAAATATTCCTCAAATTTTTATTTCAAGCGTTAAAAACAATCGATTTATTTGATCGAAGAATAAGGGTTCATTTTAATTTATGGTTATTTTGGCCAAAACATCGGCCAAAGCTTGTGGATTTCTTTGAAGTATGTATATCTGATATTTTTATAACATATTGACGTATGCTACTGACCTATGTTGATAAATATTCTTTAGCTAATATAAATAAGTTTACACAAAAAATAACAATCTTGTGGAATTTTCCATTGATTCTCAAAATAGACACTAAGACAAAAATCCAATCAATCGTTTTCATTGCGAACAAATTTTGTTTAAATGTTTCCAACAGCGAAAGAATGATGTTCAGGTCAAAGACATAAACATTTTGTTTTGAAAATCGGTATTGAATAAACAAATAATAATTGAGAGATACATGAATAAATATCAGCGAATGATCTTAGACCAGACAGGTACATGGTTTTACATACTGGTACTGGTACCAGTATGTAAAACCTGTGGTACCCTGTACCACAGTGTGGTAAAGTATATATGTTTGTAACCGGCAAAAGGAAACAAGATAGATATAGTGGTTCCGTTTGAGATTGCCACAGTATTTTGCACAACGTACTGAAGTTAGTATGGTCTTATGTGTGTCAAGTTTTGTCGAAATGGGTTCAGATTTACATATAGAGCCCATATATAATTTCGAACGATTTTAGGTTAATGGTGGACCAAAGACCCAAAATATTTTCTATATGCACAAAACGTACTGAAGTTAGTATAATTTAATCTGTGGAAAGTTTCTTTGAAATCGGGTCAGATTTGGTTATAGCTTCCATATATCGCACATTTTCTGCAAGACAGACAAAACTCAAAAGCAGTGAGCGGAGCAGTATAGTTGGACAGGGCCGACCATACGATACCCTACACAACTACCAAGGAACTCTAACTTTCTATTGCCTGGGCAATATTTCGTGATAGTTGCAACATCTTGCGCGATTTGAGGTTAACAGCACTTTTTCGACTCAAAAAAAAAAAAAAATAAAATAAAATAAAAAAAAACACACACACAATATAGTTTTCGGTCCACTTTATCCCAAAATGATTATCTGATCACCGAAAATTAATTATAGTCGTTGGTCTTGACATCCCCTAAATATTAACCGATCTTTACCAAAAACAATAAGAGTCTTCATTGGCCAGAACCCATCCTACATGCAAAATTTCGTGAAGATTGGAACATAACTGTGGCCTGTATAATCGAGATATGACGAATGGTATACTTAAAGGTGGGTCTAGGACCAATATTTCGCGGCGTTACAAACTCTTGGGGCTGCTCAAAGCTATAATACCCTGACAACATAGTTGTGTACGGTATAAAAACCGATTTTGCAGAAAATGCGTTTCAAGTTTTAAATTATCTCACACTTTATATGGGACAGAGGAACTTCTACAGCTTCTCAATTAGAGTGTGTAAGAGATATTCATAAGAATTTTTTACAAAACACTTTTTACACATCTATTATAGCGAACAATCATGCATCATTAAATCGAAAATCACGTTTTTTGATGTATGCCTCCCTTGCAGCAAATAAGCGATATATTTCCGTCTGATTTCAAGCAAATGACCTTTTGAAATTTTTCACATAAATTAGGTAACAACAAATTTATTTCAAGTTGCGGTTTTTTGGGTTTTGCGAGTAATGCCTCTTTTTCTAGGCAACCTCCGTATAAAAATCGACCTTTTATACCCTTCACCACACTGTGGTACAGGGTATTATGTCTTTGTGCATATGTTTGTAACAGGCAAAAGGAATTGAGATAGACCCATGGGTTCTTTTGAGAATATGTATAGAATCACTTTCTGGGTCGATTTATGCATGTCCGTCCGTCCGTCTGTTGATGTTAAATTGTAAACAAAGTACAGGTCGCATTTATGATCCGATTTGGATGAAATTTGGCACAGATCACTTATTTGGCCCAAGGACGAACCCTATTGAAATTGAGAAAAATCGGTTCAGATTTCGATATAGCTCCCATATATAGTTTCGCCCGATTTTAGGTAAATGGTGTACCAAAGTCCCTACATATCTTTCGGTATGCACGAAATTTGGTATAGACTACTGAATTAGGTCTAGAATGATGTATGCCAAGTTTCGTGAAAATCGGTTAAGATTTAGATATACCATATATAGTTTCGGCCGATTTTAGGTAAATGGTGCACCAAAGTCCCTGAAAATGATTTGATTTGCACGAATTTTGGCATAGCGTATTGAATTAAGTCTAGAATATCTTGTGCCAAGTTTCGAGAAAATCGGTTCAGATTTCGATATAGCTCCCATATATAGTTTCGCCCGATTTTAGGTAAATGGTGTACCAAAGTCCCTACATATCTTTCGGTATGCACGAAATTTGGTATATCCTACTGAATTAGGTCTAGAATGATGTGTGCTAAGTTTCGTGAAAATTGGTTCAGATTTAGATATAGCTCCCATATATAGTTGCGGACGATTTTAGGTAAATGGTGCACCAAAGTCCCTGAAAATGATTTGATTTGCACGAATTTTGGCATAGCGTATTGAATAAAGTCTAGAATCACTTGTGCCAAGTTTCGTGAAAATCGGTTGAGATTTAGATATAGCTCCTACATATAGTATCGCCCGATTTTAGGTAAATGGTGTAACAAAGATCATATATATCTTTCGATTTGCACGAAATTTGGTATAGCCTACTGAATTAGGCCTAGAATGATGTGTGCTAAGTTTCGTGAAAATCGGTTCAGATTTTGATATAGCGCCCATATGTATGTTCGTCCGTTTTAAGGTAAATGGTGTACCAAAGTCCCTATATATCTTTCGCTTTACCGAATTAGATCTAGAATGACGTGTGCTAAGTTTCGTGAAAATCGGTTCATATTTAGATTTAGCTTCCATATATAGTTTCGCCCAATTTTAGATAAATGGTGCACCAAAGTCCCTGCAAATATTTTGATTAACAAGAATATTGGCATAGCGTACTAAATTAAGTCTAGAATGATGTGATGGTTTTAAGCAGATTGTACACTAAAGATCCATACCATAGTTCGATTGACTATGGTATGGATCTCTGGCAGGTTTGCTTGAAATCGGTTCAGATATATATATATATATATATATATATATATAACTTAGCTTCCATATATAATTTCGACTTATTTATTTAAAATATACCCAAAGTGGTGAAGGGCATCATATAGTCGGCCCAGTCCGACTTTACTACTTTCCTTACTGATTTGAAATATGGCGAAAAGAAGGTAACAAAAAGAAAAAAGCTGGTGCTGTTATCAAACATATAGTGAGCAAAATTGATGTCGACAACGATACTTCTGATCCATTAATTTCCTCAGCATTTTTAAGTAGAAGCATACAAGCGAAAAGCGAAAAGCATACATACTTCCTCCTAAAGTCCTGGACTTGTTATTTTGCAGCGAGCCCATGGACAATATTGATCTTAGCAATCAAGGCGAAATTGATTAAATGGATGAAGTTTTTGATTTAAATAATAATAAAACAACTTATTATTTGAATTCTAATGGTTTAATTTCATTTTTTATTATTATTTATTATATTATTTTTTTATTATAGAGCACAAACCACAAAATAATAAATTTATGATTACTGATAAAATTCTTACAGCTTTTAATTTTGGTCACAAAAGTGAGTTGTTTTCTAGCCTATAAAAAGGCATGCTAACTAAATTTTACGATGATCTGATTTATTTTGTGGGTTTGGAGTTACTTAGACGTGAAATCGGATAGAACATATATATGGGAGCTATATCTAAATCTGAACCGCTTTGTACCAAATTTAACACACTTATTTGCAGTTAAAAAAATCGTACAAACCAATTTTCAACAACCACATACGTGTTTGTTACACAGCCAAGGCCCGTCGTGATCATTTAAAGTCTGCAAGGACCTTTCGGACACCTGCAATACCGTATGACCTTTTTAACATCCTGCTGTAAAAGGTCATACGAGACGCAAAGGTGAACAGAAATGGCACTCTGTACACCAAACAGCACATGTTACTCGCCTACGCCGATGACATCGACCTAATGGATAGAACATTGTGATCGGTAACAGACACCTCTGAACAAATTGAAAGGGAGTCTACCAATGTGGGACAGGCAGTAAATGCGCAAGGTGATGTGGCAGCTCTTGGAGTGTTTATAAGGCAAATTCTCCAAAAAAACTACGGGCCGATCTACGTCTACGCATAAAAAACTCTGTTTTTTATACCCTTCACCACAGTGTGGTGCATAAGTGTTTTTGTGCATAAGTTTGTAACAGACAATAGAAGACGAGATAGACACATGGGTCCTTTTGAAAATATGCATAGAATCACTTTCTGAGTCGCATGTCCGTCCGTCCGTCAATGTTAACTTGTAATCAAAGTACAGGTCGTATTTATGATTCGAATTGGATGAAGTTTGGCACATCTCATTTATTTGGCCCAAGGACTCACCCTATTAAATTGGGAAAATCGGGTTTATGTGAATGGTGCACCAAAGTCCCTATATATATATATATTTCGATCTTGCACGAAATTTGGCATATCGTACTGAATTAAGTCTGGAATGATGTGTGCTAAGTTTCGTGAAAATTGGTTCAGCTTTCGATACAGCTCCCATATATAAATTTTTCAACATTTTCTGATGAAATAATGCACATTATATATAGGAAATTATATGTAGGATTTATATATTTACAGGATAGTTTCTAAAACCAGATTTATATTTTATACGGAAGTATCTATGTGACCGATATTTTGTATGAAAACTAAAAAAAACTTTAAAAATCATTCTCATGACCCACAATATAACAAATCCAAATTTGTTTACATTTGTTTTGTTTATATTCATTTGTCTGTTTGTGTTCAATGTTCAACATATGTTAAATGTTTTCCAATTTAATTGTCTAGTGTTATTCTTTTGTATTTACCAACCTGTGTAAATAGTTTATTGTATCCACTTTGATATGATGAATAACCAAGGCCAAATCGAGATTCTCGATGGCCGCCCGATACGGAAGGTACATCTGAAGATGATGCACGTTGCACCATGGGCCGATCAGCCCGATAATCTTCTTCGAATGAAGATATTTTGAAAGAATTTTCGTAGACAGTTTCCAAAAAAACAAGAGACGAGCGGTATGTGGTCTGGTTCAACGTCACCAAGACACACACCAAGGAGTACGTTATTTTATTTTGTTAATGTTGTTGTTGTTGGAGCACCAATAACAAAATTTGATGTTAGTGAGAGAGGATAATGTTTGAGAGTATTTCGAAATGTCCGTCTTTTTTGGATTTAAAATAAATTGGTGTCAAATAGAATTTTGCCAGCTATTGCACTTTTCCTTGGGGAACGTACACAGGAAATACAACATTTACACACACATACTAACAGCGGCCCGTACACACACTCATTGATTGACTCACGCAAAATATTGGGAGACACGCACTCTTTGTTTCGGTGTGTTTTCTGTTTTCCGTTTGTTACACTGACACACTCTCTTTCTCTCTTTCTCAAACACAGAGGTATATTTTTAGGACTCCTGTTGTTCTCACACTTTTAAGGATATGCTTTGACCAAAAAAAGGAACTTTAACACAGTAACAAAACAAAACGAAAAGTAACTATTTTCCAATTTTCCTATGGATCTACGGCGTTTTGTGACACTTTTCTTTTATTTTACATATAAATAAAAGAAATTAGTTGTTGTTTTTGTTGTTCCTCTACTGTTTCACTATGTGTATGTTTGCTTAAAAAAGGGGGTTGTTTTGTTGGTTGATTGCTGGTTTGAATTTACACTGGTCCACACAACATTTGGCAGCTGTAAATATGAGCCTATGTTTTTCTTTTGATTTTTTTTTTCTAGAAGTTTTCCTTCTAGTAGGTGGTGGATTTAAATTTGTTGGTATTGTTGTTTTATAACTAGTTATTTTACTTTATAAAATATTTTTTTTTGTTCTAATTACTATTTATTTAAAACTTATGTTATTAGCCTGCAAAATAATATTTGCAGAATATTTGTGCGTGATTTTCGTATTCCTTGTTCGGGGTTTTTTGTTTCTCTTTTCTCGGCCGTTTCCGTTTTTATTTGATGATTTTGTTGTTGTTGTTGTATTTTTTCTTTGTACTTGGAACTTTATTTTTTCATGGGAACTTTCTTTTAACAATCTACTACTGCAAAACACTTGAACTATAAAACAAAAACAATTGTCCAAGTTTGAAATGATTTTTTTTAATATATATTTTTTTCTATTTTACTTTTGTTCATTATGCACTTGACTTGCCAAGGGTTACACTGAAGAGGACCTTAGTGTGAATGTAATTCATGGAAAGACACGTACACTCACACACACACATACCAACAAAGCAATTACATATTAAAATATGTTCTAATCAAGGTTGCCGTTTGATATCATATTTTTTCATATATTTAATTTGGTCGGAGTGGAAAAGGTGAAAAAATATTATAAGATTGAACGGATTTCGTCGTGTGGATATATCTTTTCCAGTATCAGTTTCGCCCTAATTCTAGAACAGTAAATTGAAAATAATATACAATTTCAATATCAACCAGTAAGGAAAGTAGTAAAGTCGGACTGGGCCGACTATATGATACGTCACGATTTTGTTATATATTTATATTTGAACTGATTTCAGGGAAACTTGCCAGGGATTAATTTATGTTACTTCAGTACGTTGTGTCAATCGGCCTAGCTATGGATCTTTTCACGAAGCTTAGCAACATCATTCTAGACTTAATTCAGTACCCTATACCAAAATTCGTGCAAATCGAATAAAATCGAACGATAATAGATGTGGGAACTATATCTAAATCTGAACCGATTTTAAAGAAACTTTGCACACATAATTCTAGATTTAATTCAGTACGCTATGCCAAAATTCGTGCAAATCGAATGATTTTCAGAGACTTTGGTGCACCATTTACTTAAAATCGGGCGAAACTATATATGGGAGCTATATATAAATCTGAACCGATCTTCAAGAAACTTTGCACACTTCATTCTAGACATAATTCAGAACGCTATATCAAAATTCGTGCAAATCAAAACATTTCCAGGGGCTTTAGTGGACTATTTACGTAAAATCGGGCGAAACTATATATGGACGCTATATCTAAATCCGAACCGATTTTCACGAAACTTCGCACACATCATTGTAGACTTAATTCAGTACGCTATGCCAAATTGAAAGATATATGGGGATTTTGGTACACCATTTACCTTAAATCGGACGAAGATATACATGGGAGCTATACCAAAATCTGAACCGATTTTCACGAAACTTTGCACACATCATTCTAGACCTTATTTATTACGCTGTGCCAAATTTCGTGTAAATCGAAAGATATATGGGGACTTTGGTACACCATTTACCTTGAATCGAACGAAAATATATATGGGAGCTATATCTAAATCTGAACCGATTTTTCCCAATTTCAATAAGTTCGTCCTTGGGCCAAACATATGAGCTGTGCCATATTTCATCCAATTCGATAATAAATGCGATCTGTACTTTTTTACAATTTAACATGGACAGACGGACGGACGGACATGCATAAATCGGCTCAGAAAGTGATTCTATGCATATTCTCAAAAGGAACCATGGGCCTATCTCGATTATTTTTTGCCTGTTACAAACATATGCACAAAGACATAATACCCTGTACCACAGTGTGGTAAAGGGTATAAAAATGGGTCGAAGAACCTTTACACGAATTCTTCAGATCCCTGGGTTCCTGTCAACTATTTATTGATCTGATATCAATTTCAATTAACTCTTAATCGTATACTAAATATGGCATTAAAATTTTATTGAAAACAAGGGGAAAAAGCGTTAAACTTGGCCGGCCCTAACTTAGGTAGGTGTAATGAAGATTCCAACACCACGTGGAACTATGCAGGTTGAGATGAAAAAACTGCATCCAACTTCAGACTGCTGTCATTTTTAAGCCACTCGTCCGACAGCTTTTAAAATTATATCAGTGACAGCTCATTATATTGTTTTGAAGCGTACAAAAGCATTTTGGTAAGGATTTTCCAGAAAAAAAATTATTCGTGATGGCATTCAAGCGTGATAGTGTGATTTCTTTATATTTGACTGGAAAACCACAAGTGCTATCGTTAGAGCACTCCAGCACTTAAATGTAAATAAATCTTATGTGTCTCGTACCTCTGCTCGTTACCGTGACACTGGTAGCGTAGCCCTATGTCAACGAAGTGGACGGAAGAAAACAGCAACATCAGCAGAAATGTTTCGAATGGTAAAGAAGCGACTTCATCGAAAACCGCGTCGCAGAGGCCGAAAAATGGCTTGCAATATTCCATTCGGCAGATATAGAAAAATAAGTTTGGGGTAAAGCAACAGAAAGAAAATAGACTCAAAAGAGCTAAAGAGTTGCTTCGCTTTGCCAAATGTGGTGAACTGCCGAATTTGGTTTTTTCCGATGAGAAAACATTCGTGGTCCAACAGTTTGTAAACAAGCAAAATGATCGTTTTGTCAGCTGCAATTGTGGACCTTCGGTTGGCCACAAGAACTCAAGCGCCTCCATGGTGATTGTGTGGGCCTCCGCTCGTATTAATCGACCGTGGCATCAGAATAAATGCCGAATTTTATTGTGAAAATTTGGAGGGTGTATTAAAGCCTTGGTCACGCAATCATATTGGCCGACTCAGCACCATCGCACTCAGCACGCGCCACTCAAGAATGGTTACAAAATGAGGTTCCTCGCTTCATTTCCAGCACACAATGGCCACCAAAATCTCCGGTTACCAATCCGTTGGACTAGTGTGTCTGGAGTATTTTGGAAAGCAAGGTTGGCACTAAAAATACCAAAGTGTCGATCACCTCAAGCAAGCGCTTCCCCAGGAATGGGTCAAAATACCGCAGAACAACATTCTAGCAACTGTTGATCTTGGAAACTATTGACAACCAATAATACTAAATTGCAATCACTTTTGATGAAAACTTTTCTTATATTTCCACCATAGGATATTGACATTTATTTGCTAAGAAGTTTCCCACCCCAAAGAGGAACTATGTTATACTATCGCGACTTCTGATGTAATGAATAATGAACAGGATCGTATTATTATCGTTATTTCAAAAAGTGGACCTATACAGACGATTTTGCTTAATGAATTTTTTTAACCATAATGAAAGGAAACAGAACATTTGTTCCATAAGTCGAACTTAAAAAACAAGATTTCAAGGCGCTTCGATCTTGCGCACAGATTTTCCAATCTGAAATACCATGAATTGATATGTCATCCATCAGTGATCTTTTCATCGAATTCGTGTCTTTCCCCATCTGCGTGAACCATCAGTAGGCTCGCGTTTATATGCCTTTTAAGCTAGGGGTTCCTCATCCATTCGCAATATATGGCCTAGTCACCGTATTCGTTGCAGTTCAATACGTCTGACTATGTCCGACTTATACTGCCATTCTTTGGACGGTATAAACTGACAATTTCGAGAACAAAATATCTCCCATAATATTATATGAGGACAACTCCCAAAAGATAGCGAAAATAATAATGTTTACACCCTCCACCATATGATGGAGTGTATACTAATTTGTCATTGCGTTTGCAACACATCGTAATATTCTTGAACAGCATAAAAGTTTATGGCGATTGGTGTTCGTCCGTTTGTTTGTTGAAATCACGATAAAGATCGCAATAATGGGATGTAGCTTTGCATTTTTGCATTGGTATTGATATTACTCCTAGGATGGTTGGTATTACAAATGCTGTATACTGGTCCACGTTTTGGTATAGCCTCCATATCCAAATATTCGGTATTATGCAAATTACACGTTTTTCAACCGAATTTCTTATAATGACGTAACACATGGTTCTCATTGGTATCAAATCTTCCTACTAAAAATGATCAGTATTGGTCCAATACAACGTTACACCGATTTTTCGTTTTTTAACAGAATCAGCTGTATTTTGGATTCACTCACGGCTATCAAATCGGCCTAAATATCAATAAAAATATCAATATTGACCCATGTTTCGGGGTAGTCCCCATATAATGTACCCCCAATATTCGGTATTTTCATCTTTTTCGGCACATGATTCTACATTTGTTATTTTAAGTTGTGGTGTAGTAGTAAATCTTCCTACTGAAATTTCA